GCAGGGAATGACGCGCTCGACGGATAGTAGCAAAGGGTTCGAGGGGAATATACCGTGGGAAGAGGCTGCGTTAGAGAACGACGCCGTATCTTCCTCGAGGTTAAGCCTTTCCTTTCTTAGGATGCATTTGGTAGGAGCAAAAATAATTACGTTAGAGCATCTCCACTGGGGTAAGGAATTAGAGTAAAGTCTATCCTACGTGGCATAGGAGAGATAGAAATAGGATGATTATTTTAATTTAATATGGAGAAAGTGGTGTGTATGGAAAAATGAGAAGGAAGAGGGAGATAGGAGTAAATTGTAGACAATGTCTATGACAATGTCCACAAATAGACATTACACGGGAATCGAGGAGCAAAAGTGGATGAAAAGTGGGTTAGAAGTGATATAAAAAATGAAAATGAAAATAAATATGGAGATATGTAGGTCCTACACATAAAATTTGTGAGATAAAAAATGGGAATCAATTGTAAGAGTGTGTAAGAGAATAGACATCCCCATTGGAGACGCTCTTACATGTAGATTGTAGAGTAGAAACTTTTTTTAAAAGGCGGCTTATATTAATAATAATGAAACATTCCTGTAATGGGTCTAAATGAGTCTAACGTGGCCAAAGCAAAACCAAATCACCCCTGCCTAATGTAAGAGTCTGACAGAAATAAGCGTACGTGACAAACAAAGCAACATGACGTTTGAAAGAAAAAACACAAGCAAACAAAAACAAAAATAGAGATAGACATTCAAACCCTAGTCGCACAAATCTCCCATGGCGGCGGTTCAGGAGGAGGACGAATCAACATCTCTTCGTCCTCTTTCACCCATACAGGATCAGTCGCGGACCGCTCATCATCCTTGCCATGGTTCCCTCCGGTCACGACCGGCTGTGAGGAGACGCCGTCCCACTCCTGTTTCTTCCTCTGCGAAATCAGCCCCAGTGAAATCTTCTTCAACGCCTTCTCTCCATATCTGCTTCAATCTCCTTCGCTCGCCATCGTCCGAGCCGCACAACAACGTGACCAGCAAAACTCGAACCTCAAAATATTCGCTAGCCAGACTCTGCAAAACGAAGGGGACGACTCGTGTAACCTGCAGAGAAATCTTCGGTGCAACGAACGCAGCAGAGACATGATAGCCACACTCAGAGTACCCTACCAAGCTTCGCGATCAAAACACCAACCTTACGGATGATCTTCGTGCGATTCCGTTGTCTAGGAATTCAAGTACAAACCACAACCAAGCCCGGACGTGACCCAGCCGCCGGGAGAGAAACCCTAGGGACGACCCTAGACGGAAGAGTAAGAGAAACTAAAAAGTTATATTGTTTTATTTCATTATTTGATGTAAATTACATGACATTTTTTAAAATATTTTCAATTGTATCATGTAATGTATTGCAAAATTTACTATTGAAGTCCTTCTAATGTGGTTTTGTCAAGGATAAAAGTGTCAATATGACAATAGTTGAAGGATCATTAGTGTCAATTTTATGAAAGTTGAAAGACTTTTTTTAGCCTAAAAGTCGAAGGATTAAATATAAAGATTTTAGATATATGTAATGCTTTTTGGTAGAAAATTTAAGGTATAAGAAGATTAACCCATAAGTCGGCTAACAATTGAGCATGATAACTCTTTCTCATATGTAGTGCATTTAGGTATAAGATAAGTTCGCTAACAATTGAGCAAGAAAACTTTCTCTCTCATATGCAGTACTTTTACGTGTAAGATAAGATAAGTTAGCTAACAATTGAGCGGGATAATTTTCGTCTCATATGTAGTTTTTTTACGTACAAGATAAGTCAGCTAGCAATTGAGCGAGATAATTTTCTCTCTCATATATAATGCTTTTAGGTATAAGATTTTATGTATAAGATGATTAGGCCATAAGTCGGATAAAAATTGAGCAAGGGAATTTTCTTTCTCATATGTTGTATTTTTAAATATAAGAAGATAAGTTGGCTAGAATTTTTTTTCTCATGGGGTAATATTTTTAGGTGTAAGATAAACAATTGATCGGGAGAATTTTCCCTCTCATACTCCGTATGTAGTTCTTTTAGATATAAGATAAGTCAGCTAACATTTAAAAGATATGCAGTGCTTTTAGGTATAAGATGTTAAAGTTTAAATAAAACCAATAACATGAAAATAAAAGTAATTGGTACAGACTACAATATTGAGTTACTCATGGACGCTCAGAAGATAAACTTGCATCCATCTATTTTATAAATGTTTTATTTACTCATTTTGTAACTAAAGAATGCTCATTTGGTAGTGGCTATAATTATCCCTCATTTTTCATTATTTATTTAAGGAAAAAGGGTCAAATAGACCCATCTACAATTGTGCATCAGTCATCCAAACCCTTGTACTAAAAAAAGCATCATATAGACCCATTTACTATAAAAAAAAATTGATCAAATCAGTCCATTTACTGGAAGAGGACTCCCTATAGCCTGTCAATTGTTAATTTATACTACCTCCGTAACATTGGGATGTTCCCATTTGAAAAGTGGGTAAATTAAGAATAGTAAAAGGAGATATGTATTATTAGGGGTATGATGGGAAGATAGTGAAATAATGTGATGGAATGAAGGATAAATCCAAAAAAAGTAGGTGTAATAGTGTATTATTTTTAAAATTATTGGGGGTATGATGAGAAGATTTAGAAATGAAAAGATATTAGTGTTACGTCCAAAAAAGGAAAGTGAGAAAATATTTACGTTACGGAGGTACTAGTACGAAGTAATGTTTTCCTCTTTTTCTTAAATCTTTTTCTCTTTCTGGTCTGTGTTCTTGCTTCCCTCCTCAAGATCGGCTAGTTTGGCAGAAGGGACTCCCGCCTTTATCACCTACTGGGAGTACTTCCCAAGGACCGATGTGAGCGATTCCGATGTTGACCGGAGAACTTCGCTCCTCCCTTCTCCGGCAACCAGGCGCCGCGTGTAGCGTAGCACAACAAGAAGAGAAGACCCGCTTCCATTAGGGATGACTCCAGCTCTCCAAGAATGGTGTCGTTAGACTGCTCCAGGTCTTCAATTCGAGACAGAGACATCTCTCTTTATTTCTGGTCCGTCCGTCCAGCTTCCCTCTTCAGCCTTCAAGATCTGTCCATTGATTAAGGGAGTTGGTGTCCATTGGCGGTGTAAAATGGTGGCCAGAGCTTGATGTACGTACTCAAGTCTGCTACCATTCAAGTTGATTCATATAAATTTAAGAAAAAGGATAAATCAAAAGTAAAGAGAAAAAGAATGAAACAAGTGTAAGAAAACAACGTAAAGGATGAAGACGAAGGGCAACAGGGACATAGATAAGGTCATAAGGCGCAGGACTAATATACCAGGAAGATAGAGAAACAAAAGTAAATAAAAAAGAAAAAGAAAAATATAATAAAATATCATAAATAAAAGTAACCAGCTGAAGATGGTCAATTTCAGGTAAAACTGACTCATTTGATCATTTTTAAGAGTAAATAGGTTTATTTGATGTTTTTTTAGTACATGGGTTTAGATGACCTATTCACAATTGTAGAAGGGTCTATTTGACCCTTTTTCCTTTATTTAATAAATGTCATTTCATCATTTGGATGTACCACAAATGTCATTTTTCATTTTCCATATATGACTTTGAACAAGCTATACTTTTGACCTAATTCTCATACGCACATTTTGTTAAAATGCTATCATTTCTCTTTAAAGTGGTTAATTTATGAAAAATCATTCATAACTCCTCTTCACAATCTCGGATTATACTTGTCTCATTTTGTTATTCTATTTGACACTCAAACTTGATAAATGTTTTTAAAGAGAGAGCACATTGAGTTTACTAATCTTAAGTTAACACTTGGGGTGAGCTTATCTCTAATTATCTCAAATTATTATTACTAATTGTGAAACTATTATGGGGTGGGCTCCAACCTAGGGGAGCTCACCCCTACATCCGCCCATAGATATGGTGGTTACGGAGAGATTACCTGCTACTACATGTAAGTAGGGTTTAATTGATGTTTTTATGAGTTTGAGTGTAAGTTGGGTTTAATTGATGTTTTTATGAGTTTGAGTGTTTAATCGTATGATCAATGTTAGGGGTACAATTGTCAAATTGCAATAAGTTAAGGGGATATGATGTTTTTAATTGGACAAAAATTTCTAGTCTGACTTGTTTATGTCTAGTCTGATTTGAACTGGTCTTGTAAATACTTGGTCCATATTTTATAAGTGTCAAAATATGATCTAGTTTGTTTAAATCTAGTTGGATCGAATATATTTTAGAACTGAAATAAGTCTAAGTAGAAGTACCCCTATTTGGCCCTTTCATTAACAAATAATTTACATCTGAAATGGCAATTACTGTAACAAAACAGTAAATAGTACTCCATAGCATACAATGTAGGTACTAGGTAGTGGTAAAAGAGCACAGGAACCGTGGTTGGTGATAATTGCAATCAACTACTCCATTCGTCTCCTTTTAAATGTCTCGTTTTACCATATTGTGATATCCTTATTTAAATGTCTCATGCCTTATTTGGTAAAGTTTGTGTGACTCAAAATCAATCTTACTTTATTCTTACTTTATCCATTAATATCAATCACACAAACTAACTTTTTTTAAAACCCGTGCCACCCTCTTCCGGGATATTTACATCGATGGCACCAAACAGTACCAAGCAAGGAGGCACTGAAAGTAGCAAGTAGCAACTAGCATCCATGTACTATTAGCCATTAGGTCCTGGTTTGTTTAGCAAATGTTGAAGATAAAATTATCATTATATTTTATTATTAAGTCATGTACTATATAAATCATCCATTCTACTGATTTTGCTCAAGTGTAACATAAGTGGTCTTTTTGAGTTGTTATATAGCAAATTCTGATTTATTAAATGCGTTTCCAGCATAAAAATTAGGCATATTCAGTAATTTCTGCCTAACATCCTCTATGAAGTATGAAGCAGGCCCTATTGATATTTGAATTAAAAAGATGTTGAAATAATGAATTAGTCGAGTGTGCACGGAATCAAAGTTCCCAGATTGAAAAATACATCAATATTTTTTATATTGGGGGGAGGGGTTAATGAATTCATTAAGCGCTTGATTTCACCCTCATATCCTGTATTTTCCCTACACCAAGTCCTATCCACCAAGTCATTACTCAAAAGACAAAAAATGAACAAAGATATGCATATACTCTGGCGCTATAAAGAATGAATTCTATATAGAAGAAATTCTTACATCCCCCAAAGAGGTAAGAGAAACGCAATGAAAATCTGAAACTACACAGTTGAAATAAAAGGGGATGTACCAAGGAAGCATAAAATGTATGTTTGTTTGTTTGTAATTGAGGCGGGCAACTTCTGAAGACTTTCCCCTTGTGTCATGGAGGTCCAGGGTTCTAACCCACCTCGCAAGAACATGAGAAATGAGGCCTAAATACCACCACCACCTTCCAATTGCGTAGGAGATCAGGCACTGTGTACACCCCCTCTTTTTTGGGTAATTAGGGAACACATAACAAATCTATGAGAAACTAAGAAAACAATGTGACAACATCTCTACGGTATCCCCGCACAATCAACAACCTAGGTACATTCTCCACCAAGAGGTCCATATATTCCATGTAAAAGTAAGAAGGATGGTTGAGAGGTGGGGGGCGGTAAACTCACAAGCACAACCGCAGCCATTCTGGAGTATTTCAGTATCATTGAGTTGAGCTTCAATGTCGTGTGTAAGAACTTCTCCACCTGGTGTTCGTTCACAACCACACTCTTCCCATCAGCCATCAAATGACTCCCCCCTGGACCCTGTCCCTGGGCCTTTTCCTTCATCTCCGCCAAGTAGTTAGCAATTCTTTCCTGTGCACTACTAAATGCCTCCACCGATTCTTGCTGCTGCTCCTCCCATGACTTCATCGAGATGATGATGACCTCAGCCTGCATGCGTAGATCGTAAAGGAATTTCTTCACGTCGGCCTTGAGTTCCTCGGCATCAGAGTCCTCCTCGGCTATGCAGAAAACCTGAATCTTACAACCCTCAAAGCTCTCTTTGGTTAGGAGTAGCTGAGAAAGAAGGAGCATAAGCCCACCGTCTCTCACGATCCAATACAAATCAATCGTCCCAAACTGTCTTTGATACTCGTTAGGCCACTCATCCAGTCCCTTGACGATAACAACAGCTTTGTTTGCTACAATGCAGTCGTTTATTATCCCAGTAAAGGTGGCGGGAATTTCGGTTAAGTTTTCACGTCGCCAAATTTCGGGGTATCGCATGACAATTATATTGGGCTTGAGATTTCCAAGGCCCATCGTCTGGACTATGCCTCTGAAGCCTTCAGTCATGTTAGGGGCAACAACGATTTCAGCTACACCCTCACAATTCTTGTAGTCAATGTAAGCACTTAGCTGCTTACAAGCTGCCTTGGCATCCTCTGCGCATTCATGGTAATCTCCATCCATTATGGAAAAAAAGATGGTCATTCCTCTTCCTTTTTTCTTCATGCAGTTGGCAAAGTCGGCAAGTTTAGGATGGCAAGGTACATTCTCTGGCAGCTTGCCCCATGGCCGACAAAATACTAATGGAATAGGGTACCAGTTTTTTGGGTGTACTTGAGTTGCTGCATAAATAAAAGTATAATCTCATATGTTAGTTTACTATCCTTTGACATGCAAAAAACAACCCATATTACACTACAACATATGTAGGATGCATCTAAGACGTTTAACGTAATACAGGGATGGTATTAAGCCTTCCTGACTGCAATCATCAGAAGACATGATGCAATATTAACTGATATACACAAAGAGATATATATAAACTTCCAATTTTCATCTGCACAGTGAAGGTTGCTTCATTTACTCCATGTGTATATGGCAGTGTTTTGTCAATGACATCCAGTAAGAGAAACATGCATGGGAGAGAAATGAAGAGAGAAAAGCCAAGAAATAATTTATAAAACAAATGCGGAAGTCCTCTTCAGTGTAAGCATCTGTACCTCCCAGAGAGCGTAGGCTACGTAATGCAAGCTGAAAATATGCACTCTTAAAGCCATCGCCCCAGTCTCCAGCTTTTCCTTTGAGGCAGACATAGTAATAGATGAGAGTGGCCAAGGCCAGCGCCACCACAGTGAACATCCAAGATATCAAAAACATAATGACTGCATAGGATCAAGGACTAAATAAACCTTAAAATGCATGGATTAATAGGAATAAAAAATGACATAATTAAAAGGCTTAATGTAGACAGACAACAGAGTGAGTCTACATGTGTATGTCACTATGTCTGCAGAAATAAGATACGTGAATAACATCTATCTAGTCCACGTTGGATCTAAACCTACATTTCAGGTCAAACACACCTACCACTCTAAAAAAAATTAGTCCCACAATTGAAATACATATTTTATCCATAATAACAACATTAACTGATAAACACACTTCGAAAACCCTGGCTAAGCACAGACCACAAATGACATGATTACAAGGGCTAATTTACAGAATACGTGTCTGTGCATGTGCGAAAAAGATATGAACCGGCTTAAACACCTGATCTAAGTTGGTCTGAAACCAACATTATCTTCAATTAAGTTGATTTCAGGTGAAAAACCACCATCTACCAAAAAGAAATGAAGGATAAAAATACATCTATAATCTATAATAACAATTTTTATGAAGCAGAGCACATGCCTACTCTCTCAACTGCTCTATAGTTAGAAGAGAGGAACCCTATATAGTCCACAGAACTTGCAGCATAATGCATGCGAGAGGGATTATGTAGAGCTCTGCAGCTTCACTTTTTCATAAACTCGGACAGTAAAAGAGCAATACTCCCGCTGTCTCTCTTTTTATGTATCCCGCTGACTTTACACGGAGTTTAAGAAATAAAATGAGATTGTGTGGTTGAGATTCACTTAAAAAGGGAAGAATCAATATCAAACAGGAAAATTCGCCAACAACAACAACATCCAAGCCTTAGTCCCAAAAGATATTGGGGTCGGCTAACATGAATCGATACATGATATCACCACCAAAAAGAAAAGAAAGAAAATAAAGATAAAAAAGATGAGCTATTATAAAAGGATAATATAAAAAAGATGAATATACCTAAAAAAAGATAAAATAAAAAGGATAAAAATAATGTTTATATATACTATACATATGAGGATAAAAGGATAAAAAAGAAAGAACGAGAGAGAGAGAGGGAGGGGAGGGAGGGAGGGAGAGGGGGGGGAGGGGGAGGGAGGGAGGGAGGGAGAGGGAGGGGGTAGGGGAGAGGGGGAGAGGGTGAGAGGGGGAGGGGGGGAGAGGGGAAGAGAGAGAGAGAGAGAGAGAGAGAAGAGAGAGAGATGAGAGAGAGAGAGAGAGAGAGAGAGAGAGAGAGAGAGAGAGAGAGAGAGAGAGAGAGAGAGAGAGAGAGAGAGAGAGAGAGAGAGAGAGAGAGAGAGAGAGAGAGAGAGAGGGAGAGACAGAAAGTGAGGGGAAAAGATAAAAAACATTTTGGAATTCCAAAATAGGAGTGTTATACTTTTATTCCCTAAATAGGATTAAATACTTCCAAAATTGGAAAATACAGTCGTGTACTCGTGTTATGCCAAGAAATAGCACTAATCACTCCATTTTGGTAATAAAAATGTAGTCCTATTTTAAAATTCACAAACGTTTGTACTCCTATTTAGGGCAATTTCTTTTATCAAACACACAATTATTTCATATAGGAACAATAAAAAAAAGAATGAGGGCAAATAAGAAGGTGAGTAGGGGACGGAGTTAGTTATAACAGTAATGCAACTTGAATGAGGCATTACAGGTGCACAATTAGCAAAAGCAAGCTCATTAATCCAATTAACCTATAACAGAAGAAGAAACAAACCTATACAAAGCAATGCTCCAACAAGAGAAAGGCTCCAGTGATGAAATTTCCACCTTGGACGCCAGCTAGGAGCATCCAAAAGATCCAGAAGGAAAGCAGGATAAGTTCACACCACCATAGCATAGAAGATAAAACATTGTTGTCGTGGGAGAGATAAGATCTAGATTCCCAATAACGACACATCCAATGCAAATGAAGGCAGTAAAGAGTGTGGCAGCATTAGGCTCTCCCCCATCTGCCACCCTGAAGTAATTAAGGACGGGGAGAATGTCATCATTAGCTATAGCTGCAAGAAGCCGTGGAGCACCAGTTAAGCTCTGAAGAGCTGCACCCAAGGTGGAAAGAATGATTCCAGCATAAACAATGGCTGGGAAAGGCCAAGCAACTGTAGCTGTTAATAACCTGCAGCAGAATTCAAGTCATTATAATGAAGGGGTGTAGCATGGCTTCACTTTAAGCACAACAGAAAGCAACACTTTTTAAAAACAAAATGCAACATGGAAGGGCAAAGGTTACATTTTTAAATTGAAAATTTATATTATGTTTTAAGTTAATTCCTAAAATAAGAAATATATCAGATCTTTTAATACATTACAGGCTTCTGAGACTGCTGCGTTACTTATGCTTGTGTTGCTAGTACACCCGCAGGCATAGTATACACATGCCACAGAATGATCTCATGGGTGAGTGGCATGTCCAAGTATCCTGGACAAATAAGACCTGTGATCGAATACTCCATCCGTGTATAGAAATAAAATATTGATAATAAAACATCTTCATACAAGCCAATTGTCAACTGAGCTATATTATCTACCATCAATATATTAATAAAGAGAGAATTCCCTAAATAGGAGTAAAAAAGTTTTGAAATTCCAAAATAGGACTCATGTTTTTTATTCTCTGAATAGGAGTAAATTTCTGCCAAATCTGGCATTACTAGGCTTTAAACATGGCATTTTTTCCAAACTTGGCAGAATTACTCCTATTTAGGGAATAAAAAACATGAAAGTCCTATTTTATTATTTCAAAACGTTTTTACTCCTATTTAGGGCAATTTCTAATTAATAAATACATGCACCGGTTAAACAAAAACATCAGTTCCAATTATACAAACATCTACTCAGCAGGGAGTCAGGGATATCACACTTAAGTGTTAAAAACATCAGTTCCAATTATACAACGATGATCCATGTGCCCACAAAAAAATTTGAAAAATAAAAAATGAAAAAGAACTACGGTGAGCTGTAATGTAATAATTTAGTTATTGGAAATATGGGATGAAATCTGATGATTAAATTGGGGCACATGGCCCGAATGACTTCTCAATTTATATTAATAAGTAGTACTAAAAAATCTGATGATAAAAACTGAAAGCTTAAGAGTTTACTAGAAACACGTATAACTAAAGATATTATGTACATTGACCGCTATTGAAGTCGGGTTCGCAGTATTGAGGGTCTTCAAGGGGTCACGTTGATTTCTCATCAGCGACTTATAACTTCCGAGTATGGGGTCAGATTCTGAGCTTGAACAGATTGATGACCGATCGGCAATATGAAGTAGTGCAGAGCGACAAGATGACACTACACCACAGCCTAACTATGCATCATACTAGAAGTCCAAGAAGTAGTAGAAGAACAGAACAAACAATGTATATACATGAAAGTCTTGCAAAGAGAAAATGTGAATTGGTAAGCAATGTGGTATTAAGCGTCTCTGCTCCGCAAAATGGATTTTTGGTGATGTCTTCTCCATTGGAAGTGTCTTGCAAATGATGTTAACCGTTAAGGCGTTAACTTCATATCAACTGTGTTTCTGGGAGCAAACCGCTTCAACCCTGATGTGAAGCCAAGTGTGTCACTTGCGTGTGCTTTGCTCTTAAATGCTGAAGCAAGCGCTTTTAGCAATATCATGTAGTTGATTCAGTCATGTAGTTAGTGAAATTGATTAAAATTGACTGTTCATTGGAATTTAAAAAATACGGGGTTTTGCTCCAGAGACTCATGGGACTCGGCACATTGCCTCGCGATCATCTGGTTAGACAGGCAAACCATTTATGTGCAATAAGTGTGTTGAGTTAGATTGTAGATACTCCATGTGATGATCACCACAACTCTGCAATCTGCAATCTGAGTCTTGTTGTAGATTAAGAAGGTGCCCACACTAGGGGTTCTATTTGCAAGTTAATTGGGAAAGTTTCAAAGGTCTCATGTTGACAGATATTCCACATTTCCACCTTTGGCTATTGTCCCTTGCTGCCTTCATAGGGGTAACTCAATCTCTTAGAATAGTGAGTAGCATACTTACATGTATTGTGCTATGGCACTAGTCACATTTGAGCTCATATGGAACCATGTAATAATGGCATTGGCATAACTGTATGCAATATTATGGTGACTTTTTTTAGTCCGGGTAGGCAAAACACCAAAATCCGTCAGGTAAATGCTGGGAATATTATGGTGACTCTGCACATAGTCTTGAACCTTGTGTTTTCATGGGAGTACGAGCACATTGATGTTGAATGACATTTTGTTAGAGCAGGGGTTATGTCTGGACTCTGGATGCAGCCTTGCACCATTTTTATTTTTGATAATCAATTAGCTAATATTTGCACCAAGTCTCCTAGTCCTAAGCGAGTCTACATCTGTAACATGTTTGGCACATATAATGTATATTCATAGACACTACCTTGTGGAGGTGTCAGTTTAAGTTGTTAAACACTTAAAACTGACACTGATAATCTGCGCTCAACCCAAGTGTGTATATGATTCACACTAACCCTAGATTATGTGTGCAACGGTACAAATATAGGGAATTAGTATCCTCAAAACTTCAATCAGTACAATTAAACCTTTCACTCTTCGCAGAAAGAAATATCACTTATCAGTGGTCAAAGGGAAATTATGTTGGAAAAAACACCTCCATAAATAGAGCAATTAAAAACTACAGAGATATTTTAATAATTGTATTACACATGTACGTTAGGAGTTCAGTGTACCTGTCAGTCAAAAGCTTTTCTCTAGTTGCCACAGATCCAAAGAAAAACACAGTAAAAATATATAGGCTGGTGGTTGCCACAGTGGCTGCTAAGGTTCCGATGGGAATAGAACGCTGGGTGTCTTTCAGTGAGGCTGAACGATTAGAGCCTGCCATGATGCCTGTCACAGCTGGAAAAAAACAGACCTACCAATGCACTGTGGACTGATGAACATTAGATTATAATAGCACGACATTAATACTAAAGGTAATAACCGACAATCTTCATCATTGACTCATTGTTTCACCAAAGATAAGAGTTCTTAACAAAAGGTATCAAAGCATCGGAATGCTTGATCTGCACAATAAGAGGGTACTAATCACAATGATTGCAGGAACAGAATACTATTGAGACTTTCAGTTGAAGCTATTTCACAAGATTTACGCACCGCTACCTATTTGTATACCAAGGGTTATATACCTCATACTGGATGCATATGCTATACTCAATAACATAAATTCCTTTTTTACAAAAGAAAGAAAACAGTAAGGCATCAACTAGCAATGTATGATGTTAAAGGACAAAAAAAGGGGGAAAGGGGAACTATCTAGACCTCTTATCAGTTATCACCACCTTGTTTCACCGCCAACAAGGTTCATAGTTATTCACAAATAACTAATCAACAAAATGCACTGCTGATCTAAATCCCACAAATCATTAGACTGCAGAAAGAATTGCACAAAACCATGGCGAACTTAGTTAACCAACTCAGAATAGGACCGTAAGTGAAGAGAGAGATTGGAAAATATCTGGCAAATAAGCTAAACAGATGTTACTAATTTAATCAATTATTATGAATTGGGATGGAGAGACTAGAGAGCATATTTTGAGTTCTAGACCTAGCATCCTGATAATGTTGAATGTTGATTGAATGATAAGAGACCAAGATGGGACTGAGGAAAAAGATGTAGTTGCATGCCTTACTTGAAACTCCAGTATATCTTCCCGTTAGGATCTGGAATTCCAGCATTATTAGTCATCTGATAATCAGAACTCCAGTTATCTCTGAAAGATTCCAAACTCAGTCCCGTGATTCCCGCTGCAGCACAACAGAAAAAAGTCAGAGGCACAAACACATATTCTTCTAAGTGAAGGATAATGTGCAACAAGGAAAATGAAAACAAAGGGAGCACATATAGCATATGCAAGGTCAGTTTGAATTAGTAAGACAATTTAAAAATAGTGCATATATTTTCCACATCAATGGGAAACAGGCTGGGCCACCAACCTTTTAAGATCCTGAATGGTTGAATCACTACCGGAAATAGTTGCTTCTCTGAGATTCACGGTTTTGCTAATACTTTAAATTATACGATTGGCAAACTCATGAATAACTCATACATTGGCAGTTCAGGATCATTTAGGCATGAACTCAAGCTCCATGGATCAAATAATACAATGATTCTTTACCATAACCTACAAAACTAATTTCATTTCAAAACTTAATCTCTAGTCATTACATAGTGCGAACACAAACTCTTTTTTAGAAACACATAGCACTATTGTGAAATCTCGGCAACATTGCCCCCCTCCAATCATTTTTATACAAACTCATTTTTTTTAGACAACTATTACATAATGAAATCCAATCACTACATGTTTTAATCAACACTCACTATACAGCAGTACAATCCTGGTTCACTTATCATGTTATATGTACTTCCTAAAGTATTATGTTCTGAATTATGCCTAATGTGCTAAACAGGTAGAGGAATTGATTTACAGGCAGGTAATAGAAATATAGAATCTGAAGAGAACTAGAACTCCCAACAACACAATCATCGAATTACAGACTCATTTGTAACTCTTTATAACAATGGTTTTCTTGAATATCACCTTTCCTTGTGCGTGATTTCAATAAAAAAAAAACTCCAGAAAGTTCAAGGAAGAGAATCTGAATATAGAGAAGCCGTTTACACTAATAGCTAAATGATACTTTGTTTATTCATCCATACAGTGTTCTAAAAAGTGGCCTAGGCAGTGTCTTGATGGTAAGCAGGAGGTAAGCACTCCAATTTTGGCCAGATCAGAGGAAAAAAATGGTCAGCTGGCTAATCTGTTTTGAAACTACAACCTTTTTAAACCAAAAAACAACTTGAAAACACAACATTCTAAAACCACAAAGCACATTTCCGAACCGCGTACCCAAAAACCCCCTTGCTCAAATAAGAGATGTTTTAATTGAGCAAGTGCCATGTCTCCCAGTAGCACATCATATTGAAGAACTGGGAACTTCAAAGTGTGGATAAGTTCCATGGTCCAAACAATGTTAACCTGATGGATGATCCTTCCTCGCCAAAAATATGCCAAGAAATATGCAGCATAATGAGAATAAAACAGGAACAAGGAAAGCTGGTGCAACACGGTTGATCATTTTGACGCCCCCAAATACTATGAAGCATAGAATAATAGTCACGACCACCCCATAAATCTGCAAGTCGTGCAAGCTAGGTCTCGTGATGGGCTCGGCAATCGCTGTGCCATTAACTCTCGTGACCGTTTCTGCATCATGAAATAAGAAGATGATCAAATTGCATTTACATAGAAAAAAATATACCATGCCACCACCGTTGACTTCAAGAACGTGCACATCCGCACACAGATGTGAAGCTTTGAAGCAGAAACACAGAGACAAAATTTAAGGGTTGGTCCACTTAAAGAAGTGATATGTTGAGCGACACACTGAGACTCAGAATACTTAATATGGGGACCAATATCAGGCTGCCTAAAACAGTGCTATAAACTATCAGCACCTAGGATTTGATCAAACTAAAAATAGTGTTAATATTGTGAAATTACTCAAAGGGAAAGATTGGGAAAGAATCCTCATCCCTTGGCAATACCAAACTTCTCTTCCATGAGTCCATGACTATATGTACACATAAATATGATACCTCTAAAAATTCCTGCCGCTGGTACAGCATTCAAGAACGTCTCTACAGCTCCCAATACATACCTGATTTATGCAAGCACAATGATAAGATCAATGCCATATTCTATTATAATGCCTTAAATGAGAATATAGCATCACATTGCATACTCACATTGCTCCAGAGATTGCGTTCCCCAGGAAAAAACACAGTCCGATACTGACCCCAACCTCTGGGCCCAATGCTCGCCCAATAAGATAGTAAGGTCCACCACCCTATATAAAGAAAAAAAATTGAAAAAATAAGATTTTACTGCTCAACCAAAAAATATTTGACAAATAAACTAGAAAGTTCCATTTTACCTTCATTGCACCATTAGTTGCAATAGCACTGAGTGAAATTGTAGTGAGGAAAGTACAGGAACCACAGAAGGCCACTAGCATCAATGACTCCCCAATACCAGCCATTCCAACTATCCTGCAAATTAATCATATATTGAGGGTGGATGAAAAAATAAATTGATTATCTTTGTGTACGATGAATAAGATGTATCATGAAGCTTAGAGAAAAAACAAAGTGTTAAACAGGCACTGAACTAATTCTTTTTTCCTAGTCAATTTTTCCACCCTTCCCATCTTGCTTTTCCTTAATTTTTTCAATCAGCCCCTTCATTTACACCTTTGCTTTCTTTTCTTTTCTTCCTCTGCGGCTCTCTTTTACATTATTAGTAAAAGCCACACAGGAAGAATAAGAAAATATACCACATAATCATACGATGAATGCTCAATGTAACCATCGACTAGTAACTGAAATGTATTTCCAAATTCCAAGTTCATGCATTCAACCTCATAAACAAAGAAAAGTATTACAAAATCTTTTCACAAATCACAATTACAATACAACTTAAAACTGGAAATTTATCTCTAATGAAAGTGAAAAACTTGCCAGGAAAATCTTATATAGTAGATGATTCCCAAAATATTTTGCAAGCATGGCACAAAAACTCCCATCATTGTTCCCGACTTCACAGCAGCAGGCTGCATGAGTAATTGAGATCAAAGTCTATGAAGAAGGTACACAACACCCCTACATAAAGTACACACACACACATTCTGACAACTCTACATTGATTATTTAAAGACAAAAAACACTTGTAAAATTTCCTGATAAGACTCGGTGCCCGAAAATCACAAATCAGCGAGCAATTTATATGTACTACATAGTGCAAATTCAGGTCTACTAAAATCAGAGATAAAATGAACAATGAGATGATATTGATAACTATACGGATATCAGGCAGATAAAAAGGATACATGATACTACATCTGCCCCATATTGGATGTCTTGTTTTAGTTTGGCACAATTATTAAAAAAGTGGTTGAAAAGTAAAAATTCTGATTGAGTTTTGAGTAGAATAAAATAATATGATATGGACCATACATTTCTTGCCAAAAACGGAAACATGACATTCATTTTGGGAAAACCCAAAAAGGGAAGTAAGACAGCTGAAATGGGACGGAGGGCGTATAAAATTTTCACCTTCCTTCTCTTTCAGAATATAATGTTATGACAAACTTATATTACTATAGACTCTTCAGCCTTTGGAGGACAGTAGGTGGGACTGCAGGGGAGGAATGAACGGGACGTGGGACGGGTGGGAGCAGGAATGGATGAGTTTTTTTTCCCGTCTCAAATATGAGGCGGGTGACGGGGGGTGCTGCATCCACCACACCCCCACCCCATTACTGCATAAACGCAGAACACACAAAACATACAACACAAACACATTTGTGTGTATAATTAATTAATTTTATACATTTATAGTAATAATACTTACCACCCACAAAAAATATATATATACGTAAAATTCATTATATTGTACATAATAGTGTACGTACTCATTCTCTTGTTTTTATTGTCTTAAAAGAGCTTTGTCAAACAAGAAAATCATTTAATTTGACAGCTGGTAATTTTTATGGTACACATAAATTGTTGAATTATACTACCTCCGTCCCAAAAAACTTTGTCATTTTCAAAACTTCGACCAATTATATCTTTTTATTGGAAATTTATAATATAAAAATTAAATCAAAATGTTCTTTGTTAAAAGTACTTCCATAAAGTATAAAATTTATAACTTTCATAATATTATACTAATCAAAATCATGGTTTCATTTTTTTGAAATGGCAAAGTTTTTGGGAGGACTGCGGAGTTCCTTATTACTATCGGAGTGCACCAAGGATCAGCTCTGAGCCCTTTCTTATTTGCCATAGTCATGGATGAACTTACAAAGTCAATTCAAGACGATATACCGTGGTGCATGATGGTTGTCGACGATATTGTATTCATTGATGGGACGCAATCAGGTGTTAAAGCAAAGTTGGAAGTATGGCGACAAACATCGGAGAACAAGGATTTCAGACTAAGTCGGAGCAAGAGAGAGTACATGGAGTGCAAGTTTGGTGGAGGTAGAAGCAGTGGTAATAGCGGAATTACTTTGGATGGTAAGGAGATATCGGTCAGCGATATGTTTCGTTACTTAGGCTCCATAATTCAGAAGGACGATGAGTGAGATGGAGATGTATCCCATAGAATCAGAACAGGGTGGATGAAGTGGAAGAATGCGTCGGGATTTCTATGCGATCGAGGTATGCCAACTAGACTGAAAGGTAAATTTTATAGGACATCAATTAGGCCTGCATTACTGTATGGCACAGAGTGTTGGGCGGTGAAACAATGTCACATTCAAAAAATGAGTGTGGCAGAGATGCGCATGCTGCGTTGGATGTGTGGGCATACTAGAAAGGACCACGTGAGGAATGAGACAATCAGACAAAGGGTGGGAGTAGCACCTATTGAAGATAAGATGCAGGAGTCGTGCCTACAGTGGTTTGGTCATGTACATAGAAGACCGAGTGATGCACCGGTCAGACGAGCTGAGATGTGTGGAGAAGAGGCAGGGAAGAGAGGGAGAGGAAGGCCCAAACAGACGTGGGTTAGGGGAGTCAGAAGTGATATGCTTCTTCTTGGATTGGATGAGGGTATGGCTTAAGAGAGAACAAAGTGGAGGGCGGGTATTCGTGTGGAGGAGTGATCTTGTATTATCCTTTCCCCTTTTTTTCCTATTTTTTTTCCTTTTATCCTTATATATAAATATTACTTTTATCTTTTTTTATTTTATCATGTATATGTATATTCATCACTTTTATATTATCTTTTTTATAATAGCTTATCTTTTTTATCTTTATTTTCTTTCTTTTCCTTTTGGCGATATCATGTATCGATTCATGTTAGCCGACCCCAATTCTTTTGGGACTAAGGCTTGGATGTTGTTGTTGTTGTGGCAAAGTTTTGGGGACGAAGGTAGTATTATAGAATAAGTCATAGGAGTAGTAAAGAACATGGTTTGTAGTGCATAATTTTTCTGCCCATTGTATTTGTTCATTATGACTATAATCAGACATTGTACTCTCTTTCATTGATAAGCAATAAACAAAAACTGTTTTTAACTCTTTCAGCATGTCAAAAGATAACATTTACAAAGAGCTAGCCTAATGCATTGATAAAATTTTCAGGCACCAAGTAGAATGAAGTAACTAAAAAAATCCACGCATGACACCTTAAACTTCACTCTGATTACAAAGCAACAGTTCATGGAAGCAGTGCTGTGGCATTACAATCTGGAACCAATTTGTAACACAATAATTTTTCCCTTTTCAAACCATATGAAACTAACTAATCTCACAAATTGAAGCGTGGAACCATAACTTCGATCAGTTGGATGTTTACAAGTTCATTCAGAGTCAAGTCTTCTCTCCCATTTTCCTTAATGCCATCATTTTTAGTGGCACGGTAATTGTACAAACCATTCCATAAAAAAGAATCGATAATGACTGGAAAGAGATATGACCGATAATGACTGGAAAGAGATATGACCGATAAGGAAAACTGGCAGAAGAACTGTGATTGAAGCACCATATAAGCAAAGAAAACCCTTTATTAAAAATCAATATCATAGAAGATAATTCACAATGCTATCATTTACCCTTTGGCGGCCAATAGTGATAGTTGCATCATCCCCATCACGGAGACGTGATGGGCTTGGCATTTGATCCCCTATCATACTAGAAGAACAAAATTCATTAAGCTGTGTATATCATCCAAATATCCGAGAATAAAAATACACACCTAAAATATAACTGTGAAAAGCCAAAAAATTTCTAAAGTACAATAATTAAACGTCAAAAAATCTGTAGAAAAATGAATTAGCTTTTGAAGTGACCGAAAATAAAAATAAAAAACACATTTTTTAGATAAAAACATTGTAGATGCAAGGTATGAAAGGAGAAAATAATAGTAGTGATAATAATAATAAAAAGAATGATATTAATAACAATAAGAATACGAATAGTAGTAATTATAAACCGAGGGTAACGAATTCATCTATTACCTCTTAAGACCTAGGATATTGACGAGAGAGTCAAAGCCAAATAATTCTAATTTGGACTCTGCCTGGGTCACATTCCCATGATTAGGTAAAGACTCGTCTCTGCCATTAGAGGATGTCTTTGGTCCCTCCCCCACTTTAATTTTCCTGAAAATTTGTATCACAAGTTAATATAGTTTTTCTTTAAAAATTCAAATGATCAGAATGACTCATAATCATAAATTTAGAAACTGCAGATCAGGATATGTCTGGTACGCAAAGCCACAAACTTGAGGGGAAAGAACAATCTAGTGATCTACTAAAATGCATACTGAAATTCATTTATAAATAACAGTCTGAAGATGCCCTTACTTTCCATTGGACAAATGTTTATATGAAAACTCTTCAAGCATCAGTATTCCTTATTAACAACTGTTAGCATTTATGTGTTGGTTCTTCTGTAAGCAAATAATGTAGCTAGTGCGCTGAGTTTGAAGGAATACTCTTCAAGCATCAGTATTCCTTATTAACAACTGTTAGCATTTATGTGTTGGTTCTTCTGTAAGCAAATAATGTAGCTAGTGCACTGAGTTTGAAGGAATTCCTTAATCCCAATACACTCTTTAATAGAGTTTAGAGGAAGAGAGATATGCAGACTCAATTGCTTGCTTTATTCTCAGGCATGTATGAGTATTTATACAATAATTGGGAGCCTATAATAATAATTACAATACTAAATACAAAGATATGTAATGGTTATAACTGAAAATGTAATAATTGAAAATATTATAAATTACTCCCTCTGTCCCCCTAACTTTGTCCGGTTTTACCTTTTTTATCCGTCTCATTAAGTTTGTCCCATACCATATTTGGTAATATTTGAGTGGTTAGAATTCATTCTTACTTTTTTCACACTTTATTAATTCAATACCAACCACACAATCCTACCTTTTCTTAAAAACCACACCACACCCCTTTGCCCCAAACTTAAGGGGACAGAGGTAGTAATATTTCCTGGAATCTTCTCTACGCCCCGCAAGCCAGGTATTCTGTCACTCCCAAGGATCCTAAGCTTGTCTCTTCAAGAGTAAAATGTTGCCTTGAAAATGGTTTGGTAAGAGCATCAGCTAACTGATCATGAGATGAGATGTGAAGGACAAGAAGAAGCCCACGTTGCACACGTTGTCGGACAAAAATGCAAATCGATGGCAACATGTTTCATCTTAGAATGAAAAACCGGATTTGTTGAAGAGCTTGTAGCGCCTTTGTTATCACAAAGTAGGAGCGGGGAAGAGGGAGGCGGATGTCGGAGTTCATGAAGAAGAGATTCAATCCAAAGAATTTCAGATGCAGCAGTGGAGAGAGCCCCATACTCCGCTTTTGCAGATGAATTTCACCAAGAAATGCTCCGTTGTTTGATAGACTTCCAGGAAACAAGTGATTCACCCAGAAAAATGGCATATACGCTAGTTGAGGAGCGATCATCGGGATTCCCTGCCCAGTCTACATCGACATAAGCACGTAGAGAAAGAGATGAACTGTGGCAGAGATAGAGACCACAAGAAGTAGTGCCTTGAAGGTATCCTAATAGGCATTTGATATGCTGCCAATGAGTAACCGTAGGTTTTTGCATAAATTGAGCAAGTTTGTTGACAGCGAAGGCAACATATGGTCTTGTGAGACTCAAATATTGAAGTGATCCAATGACGTCCATAGAGAGTCACATCGCAAAACCCCGAACTATCAAATAGGGTTAAGAATGTCGAGGAACCAAGGGTGTGGATACCAGTTTAGCCTCATCCATTTTCAAATTATGCAATAAATTGGTAATGTACTTGTGTTGATCAAGAAAGGGTCCATCCTATGTCAGAGTGACCTGCATGCCTAGAAAAAAATGTAACGATCCCAAATCGTTAATAGAGAAATTTTGTGCTGATGAATCAATAGTCCAACGAACCAAAGTAGGAGTGGAACCGGTAACAATAGTATCCTCCACATACACCAACACATAGATATAAGAGTGATGTGAAGAGAGAATGAAGAGACTCGCATCAGACACAGATTGATGAAATCCAAGGGAAAGAAAAAACCCAATCAGAGATTGATACCACACTCAAGGTTCTTGTTTGAGACCATAAATAGATTCACGAAGACAGCAAACAGACCCAGAACCATCATTGAAACCAGAAGGTTATTTCATGTAACCTTCCTCGTGAAGAGTCCCATGCAAAAAGGCATTATTGACATCGAGCTGATTGATCTACCAACCATGAGAAAGGGCAATGGTCAAAACAGCTCGAATAGTGACCAGTTTGATTATTGGGCTGAAAGTGTCAGAATAATCAATTCTTGGGCGCTCATGAAAGCCCTTAAAAACCAACCAAGCTTTGAAACGATCCAAAGAACCATCCTGCTTGTACTTCACAGTATAAACCCATTTGCAACCAACAACATTTTGACCAGGACACGCTGGAACAAGTTCCCTGTTTAACCAAGGCTTCAAATTCTGGTACCTATAAAGCCTGGGAAGTAGAAGTAGGAATAATATGATGAGGTAAGGCGGATTGAGTGACAAGATTAGCTTGTTTACGAGGACGAAGGGTCATGGGATGGGTACGTTTGGGAGGGGAATTGTGGGGACCGGAATGTTGGTCCAAGGCAACAATGGAGGTATTTGTAGCGGTGGTCGGGGTGATAGTGGGTGGTTCATTAAGTGAAGCTTGAGGAGATGGCGGGGTAGTTGGTTTTGGCTTAAACCAACGTTGATATGTGATGATAGCATGTGGATTGTGTGAAGGTGGGGGTGCAAGGTGTGACATACTAGAGGTAGAGATTGACCTACCGAGAGTGTTTTGATGAGCCAGGGTATGAGAAATAGGAGATGCCCTCGCCACTTGTGTACCTGAAAGAGGAAGATAGGAAATAGGCGGTTGAAGCCAGTTATCAATCTTCGAGAAGAGATTAGTAACAGGTGTTGAGGTCTGAGAGAAGGTTAAGACAGACCCGTTGAACACTACATGCCTGCTAATAAAAAATACGGTGGGTAGTTGGGTCAAGACATCGACATGCACTCTGTTGATCACAATATCCTAGAAAAATACATGGTATGGATTGAGGTTCTGATTTGTGGGTTGTGTAAGGACGCAACCATGGAAAGCATTAGCACCCAAAAATAGCAAGTTTTGTGTAGTAAGGTGTTTTTGAAAAAGTTTTTCATATGAAGAGCAGATGTTGAGAGATGTTGTAGGGTGTCTATTAATGAGATACACTGCAATTTGAAAAGCATAAGACCAATAATATTTAAGTGGCATGGAGGCGTGATGAAATAAAGTGATCCATGTTACAAGTTTCAACTAGGGTTTGGAGGTTGTGAAGGTACTCCCCCACGGGGTGAGCTCCCTGCTTCATGTGGCGGAACTGGTCTTTGAGGTTCTGAATCGCGGAAGCTGATCGAGTCCCATATATCTGCTCAAGCGTCTTCAGGCAACGGCAGAAGTGCGTGCAGAACCAATTAATGGTTTGAAGACCGAGATACGGGAGGAGACCTAGGGCGTGGCGAAGGAGTTTGTCCTGTCGTTTCCATCTGAGATGACCAATTGCATCACTTTCCGGCGGCAGTGCACTCTTCTCCTCTATATACTGGCTCGTGTGTGACCCAAACTGAAGATCAAGAATCTGGTCATGCCAAACCAGGTAATTAGATTCGTCTAATTTTTTTTGGAAATTGACTGGGGTTAAGCATTATGAGTCCATAGTGTTCAGTGGTTGTTGGCAGAGGTAGACGAGATATTAGCGAGAGGGTTTTCGAGGTCTCCTTGTCGCTGTAGATCCTCTGTCTGTCTAATTGGATTTTCATCGTTGGACATGGGTAGAGGGGCTGGTGAGAGCTCTTATGGCTCTGATACCATAAGATAATAATGTAACTGAATGGCTTGCTTTATTCTCAGGCATGGATGAGTATTGGGAGCCTAAAATAATAATTACAATACTAATTACAAAGATATGTAACAGTTATAACTGAAATTGTAATAATTGAAAATATAATAAATTAATATTTTCTCGAATCTTCTATACTCTTCATGTGCATCAAGAAGAGGATACATTGCAAATTGAAGAGCTACTTGATAGGGTTACAATGGAAACACTGGGTGATAGGTTTATTCTCGGTAAGCTCCAAATTGGTTTCAAAATAATGTCCCACACTTCTCCACCACAAAAGTAGAAATGCAAGGTATTAGAATTTTGAACATTTATTTAGCCATAAGTCATCTGCTCAAAAATTGAATTCTCTTCAGTTCTCTTGAAACATTGAAACTTCAATTGTTTATCTACTATTTCAAGCTTCATCAACTCCTTGAAAGCACAACACTTAGTTTTAGTTTGTGATTTTGAGAGTAAATACATTAACCTTTCAATCAACATTTAGAGCAATGATTTAATCAGTTGCATAATGTTTATAATCTAAAACACACTTACAATTGTGATCCCTGTCACCCTGTGTTAAAGAAATACGTAGTATGTTGTTATAAGAGAGTAGAGCAAACCCATTTACTGTAACTTGTATGATTAATGATAGGAGTCTGGAGATGGCCAATGATATCCATCAAAGAGGAGTATTCATTGAGATTAGGGATGCGAAGAGGGGTGGAGCCACGGACACCCACCCCATGGGGGACGAACGTGATGGGGATGAGATTGGTAGGTGAGATCTTTTGCCCTGCCTAAACATGGGGGAGTGATGGGGATGCTACCCCCGCATAAATGAACACATTTATGTGAGGATGTTTTTACTTGGACTTATTTCAGTCCAAGACCACACCAGACCTCGATAGTTGTAAATTACAAAATGACTAGACATTTACTAAACCAGACCAGATAATTATTGTACAAGTAAAAACATCCTGAATATAACTAATTAATTAAATAATTAACTGTTATAATGTGATAGTGATCTTTGGGACTAAGGCTTGGATGTTGTTGTTGAATGTAATAGTAATAATACTTGCAAACAAAATAAATAGAATCCGCATTAATTAGTTAAATGCTTTTAACCTGCATAAATAAATATATATTTAATTAATTATTTATATAGATATATAGAGTTAACTATACTGTACATGACAATAAACTCTCTCGTGCTTTTTTTAATTATCTTGAAAAAAAAATTCAAATGAGAAAATCATTTATTTTGGTGGTGGTAACTTTAATAGTTTAATCATGCACCTTATTAAAAAATAACTACTTTGATGTAATGATATTTAGATCTGTTGATTTGAAATAATATGCAAACAAGATAAAAATCTACACGGCACCCGCTCGGGGGGGGGGCTAATGGGGCGGGTGGGGGTGGGGCCTTTTTTAGAAATGTTGCGAGGGGTGGAAAATGAGCCTCCGCCCTAAACCTGTCACATTTTCATCCGCAGTGAAGAGTGGTAGATTGCTAAATGTAAAGGAAGGGGCTCTTTATGTAGTGAGGTGGGTATTGCTTCAAACATATAAAATATAATAACCTTCGTGCCTTGCTTGTTTACATTCGTATATGTATGTGACTGAATATTTATTGTATTTATCTACTCCCCTGCACTACTTGCAGTTATGTCTACCATTAATGAGAAAACTGAATCTACTTTTGTTAATCACCAAAGCAAATAGACACAAATCTATATTTTTTGAAATGTTAACATGAAATGAATTGCTGCGTGCTAGTATGCGTTCTAAAATTCTTGAAAACCAACCAGTGTGACCTATCTTGTGATCTATACTTCTATTCTGTCTAAAGCTAATACTTCCACTTGAATATCATATTATCCTACAGTAAGACTTTTGGTAAATACAAAGCAGCCTGACCTTCTTGTAATATCAAGATATGAACACATGGCTACGAATGTATCCTAAATGGCTACATGTTGATAATCCAGATTCAAAATCTCAGTTGCATCAAAAGAAAATAACACGTCATGCAAAATTGGAACACAGTTCTAAAGAGGAATATGGCTGAGATGGTACTGGTAAGAAAAGGCCTCACTATGCATTCAACATAAAAACAGAAAAGGGTGAGCATAAATGACCTCTTACTCACAATCAATTGATGACATTTCAAAAGTCTTGACAAATTGAAGTTCAAAGTGGTAGCATGAGAGTGTTTTTACAAGGATATCATTAAATACTTGAACTCATATATGTTCCTAAGAATATCGTTCAATACTTGGCAAGGCATCGTAATCATAAAAAGCTAAACAGTCATTAACGCCCTCAAAGGTTCCAAAGGCTCCAATCAGAAACTCCTGACTCCTTTAGGAGCTAAGAATCCATTTCTATCTGCGTTTGAGAACGTGCATAAGGGACCAATCAAGGACTCCCACTAGAATCTAGAAGTCAACCAAAGCTGATTCAATGTTCTTGTAGCATCAATTATAAAAGAAGGTCCGCTGATTAGTCTACTATGTAAGTGCAGCCCATCTCAGAATCTAAAACTATGTTTTCTCAAGACAATCTCAGGTAAAGAAGATACCATTGCTGCTATACTAGAGAATAAATGCTAAATGATTGTCCATTGATTTGGATCAACTATTTAGCTCAAACAGACTGTTAATGCACAGTACACAAGTTTCAGTTTTTTACATTACCCCTTCTCCAAATCTCGCCCTAGCGTACCTATACTTGTTCTTCAATTACATAAACCCTTGTCTCAGACTTTAGGGATTAGAAATGACATATACTAGAGGTAAAATATATAACTACTTAATACAAAAGAGAAATGAAAGAGAGAACCGTACTTGAGATCGTGAGGAGGATATGAAGAAGAGGAAGATCCAAGATCAATAGAGGACATTTCAAGCACAGCCCGATCATTGTCGTGCGCCACCACAGGACGATACTTGCTGCGCCCCAGAGATCCCGGCGAGAAAACTGCATTGTCCTCGGAGCCTTCAATGTCATGTCCCCCTCGTCCACTATCCATAGCCGTATCCTTATCCCGAATTGTTCCAGATGACAAATGTAATTGCTCAATGAATACGAGTGAATACGTATCCAAATCTGCGTCTATGCGTATCAAGAATGGGTTGAGTGCAATTCAAATGACGCGTAAGATTGGAAGGTTCAACTACGGAGTTGAAGTGTGTATACGATTAGAAATTCCTGCAGGTGTACCAGAAAACAGAACAGATAATGGGTGTTGCGTAGAAAATATAGAAATGGCCTAGCAGGGCTTGCAGCTGACAAATAAGGCGGGGCTGAGTTTTCTTTGAGCTGATGAGTAGGAGAAACAGAGCAAAGAAAAACAGTGCTCCATACTACTCCGTAATCTAGTCATGCTCTTTATATCATACCCAAAAAAATTAAGGTCTCAAAAATTAAAAATCGTGGGTCAAAACTCAAAAGGTTAATTGAATTCATAAAATTGGGTTGGTATTACTTGATAATGTTCTTTGAGTATATTTACACATTAATATGGTTGAGTTGGGTAAGAGAATGCTAAGTAAAAAAGGTAAGTCGAACAAAGTTTTGTAGTTGACCTTTATGAAGTCGACCTAAAAGGAGAAGTCGACCAAGGTCCCGGTGTCGACCTTTAAGAGGTCGACCTATGGGTAAATGACTTGCGGCCATGCGGGGTGCATTGATCAAGGGACTGGGGGCTAGCGTCAACCTTCAGAAAGTCGACATATTAGCATTATGTTAGTCAGCGCAACCACATTAATGTGTTAATCTAACGAGTTTACTCAATTAACAATAAAAAACCAAGTTTATGTACTTAGAAATGTCAAATGCAATATAGTATACTTTTTACTCTACCTTATACAACTTGATGTACTCAATTGACTCTTATTTCAAAAATTACTCCTTCCGTTCTTTTTTAGTTGCAACACTTTTCTTTTTAGGTAGTTTCAAAGTAATTGCAACACATCTATTTTAGAATATAAAAGTGAGTTGAATTGTCTTTACTACCCTTAATTAATTCACTATCAGCTAGACAGCCACCCCTCTCCAATTTCATCGGTTTCTGTATCCACCCACCCGGCCACCCCCACCTTCTTCAACCTCAACACATCTTTCAACCTCAAATTTCCCCGTACCTTTCTTCAACCTGAAATCCTCTTCCTTCTCTACAGATCTGGCTTTTAAGAAAACTCAATTGGATTTCATGGATTTCATGTAGTCACCCGATTTCTTTTCAGACTAGGATATTTTGCTATATTTGACGAATCCTTAGTGAAACCCGGCAGTCTTACCTTAAAATACGTTTCCATGCTAAGTTTGTCTGCGACCTCTTCTATGAGATTGGGAAGAGTACCTTCCGCCAGTCAAACGTAACCCAAACGGGCCTTCCCAGATTTCATCTCCCACAACCCCATTTGATTTTATGATTTGTGGGATTTAATTCTTCAGACTGCCGTTGAGGTTGCGAGGTCGAAGATGAACGTCGACAGGGAATCTGTGATGGCCGATGGGTATGGAGACAAAAGTTGTACTATTCTACCATTCTACCAATAGTTGTGCTTTTCTAGACCATATGAGGGTTGTTTTTTCCTTATTGTATAAGGGTACAAAGGGAAATCAATTTTTTTCCATGCTTCTTAATTTGTGTGCCATGATGCTATGTTGCATCTAAATAAAAACGGAGGATAGTATGTAATAATTCATCTCAAATTTTGAAAGGATGTGATGTAAACTCTCCAAATTTGCATGTGTAATTTCAATATTCCGAACTATATATAAAAAGTTGTGTTAGCACCATGAACATATAATTTCACCATAAATTATATGATCATAAATTTTAAATAAATACATGATCATAGTGTTAAAATAACTCTTAATTGTTAAGAGTGTTTTATTTAAATTACATATGAAAGTTTGGGGTATTGACTATTTGGATTTTTATTACGATTGTATTTTGTAATTCATTTTACAAATAATTTTATTTTACAAAACTACTCATGTTTTTTTTTTTGAAAAAGGCGGCTTATATTGATAAAGAAACATTCAGCAAGGGACAAAAGAGATAAAGCGGACACTTCTAGCCACCGACCCTCGGACCAACCTGAGAACCAATCACCCTATACAGAGTAATGTGATTCACTAATCCTATAACGAGTCTAAATGAGCCTAACGTGGCCAAAGCAAAACCTCCATGACCCCAGCCTATTGTAAGAGTCTGACAAAACAAAACAAAACAAAAAGGTGACAACGGAAACAAAACAGTACTTAGCAGGAAAAAAAAACGACAGTAAAACCGTGGAAAGTAAACTGACTCCTAAGAAGCCCGAACGAGCTCCAGTGTCCTCCCATAGCCAAATAAAGCTTCAGACATCGTAACGGGTTTCGAAACCCCACCGCCGCCGCCGCCCCGTTTTTTGGATCCCCCTTGCCACATGTCGTTTCCCAGATCCTCCTGCGCTTACATTCCCCAGGAGCCCCCTCCTCAAGTGCATTACTGCCTGATTCCACATGTCCTGTACCGCTCTCAACCAGAGAAAGTGCCCAATCCCTCATGCTTGGCCCCGCATTCCCATCTCCCACAAACAAAACTACTCATACTTATAAAACAAACTTTCGTACATAAAATATGAATTTTTGAGAGAAGTTTAAAAACATAGGTAGTACAAATAAATGTGCACGTAGATTTTAATTTGAGTCCTTGGAATAGTCTACTTACTTAATAATAAAGTACAACCTTTTAATTGAAATTGAATTTTCAATTAATTGCTATTGAGTCCAATTAGTGAATAGTCTAATTGCAATTAAGTCCTAATTCATAGTATTTACTCAATTGATTACTATTGAGTCCAAATAGTGAATATTCATTATATTAATTGCAATTAAGTCCTAAATTCATACATAGTAGTATTTATATATATATATATATATATATTACGGAGGAGAAAAGTCCACCCTCGGGATTCCAGAGTAGAATAGTTGTCTAGCCGCCGCGATTTGAGGATGTTCTTGGTAGTTTTTTGATGAATTTTTTTGAACATGTTCTTCATGAGGTTTAGATTATATCCACAAAATTTCATCTTAAAATTCGATTGAGAAGTAAGTTAAATAAATATATAAATATTTTGACGTAGTGTTTTTCAATATTTTTTTAATTGACTTCCCGATCAAATTTTATAAACTTCATATAGAAAATTTCATCAAGAAAAACTCACTAGAAACCGTCTCAAATCGTGGCGGGCCGAACGGTGATTCCGTTCAGGATATTCTAACTGGAATATTACTCTATTATGAAGCATCAATTTCCAAATAAACTACAAATAATCTAATCATTCCATTTAGAGAGCACATGTATTTTTAAATGTTTATAATATTGGATTTCATTCCATATTTTATAATGTTTTATCAAATTGGTTCTAGAAAACAATGCATAATTTGTAAAACTTTTATTCGTTATTTTGTAATATTTTATATAATTTGCATTCCAATTAAATACATATATTTGAAATACTTTGTATAGTTCATATTCCTTTCACTTGAAAAAGTAACTTAATTAATTTTATTTCATATTTGTACAATACGTGTTATTCATATACACAATATACTTTTTCTATTCTAGAATACCGTGTTGCCTTTAATAATAATAGTTATTTTTGTTTAAAAAAAACATATAAAGGAATAAATTGAATTTCCAAAAAATAAAGTGAGTTCTATATTTATTTAGTATTAGTAATAAGAGACATTACTTTTTCTTATAGGATACCCAACTAAAACAATAGTTTGTGTTGAAAAATATGTGATGAAAATGTTCGTGTATTTTAAACATAAGATAAAACGATGAAAAACTAATTGATATAAACTTCTCATTTATTTTAAAATTTTACATTTTTTATTTACTAATAAAACTACCTTTCAAACCACACTTAATATAGGAGAAGAATATAAAAATACGAATTGAGATTTTCAAACTAAAAAACTCAAATGGGACTGATAAAGTATAATATAGTATTACCTCCGTTCCGAAAAAGTTCATCATATTGATTATTTTTGTAATGATGGCAAATTTGAGACAATGATTTTAATTATTATATCGTATATAACTTATAAATGTTATACTTTTATGAAAACATTTTGAAGAAGAAACATTTTGATATCATTAGTCAAAGTTGATTGTTATTAACCAAGAAAAATCAATTTGACGAATCTTTTCAGAACGGAGGGAGTAAGTAAATTGTGAGTACATACACATTGTGTGATTCTCCTAAATAAAAATAAATCATATTTATCTATATTTTTATATTGTCCATAAAATTATAGGATTAATATTTTCTATTACATCTTAAAAAATTAATTGGCTTAATTAGAAGTATATAATAATGACATTGTCAACTGTATGCTCTTGAAAAGTTTTATCTGTTCTTTTTTAGTTACAACTCTTCTTTTTTCATGTTTGCCAACACACTACTTTGATTATTAATGTATATAATTCGTTATTAGTAAAAAAATATTTTTGAGATTTAAATTGAGACGAATTGAACGATATTTTTAAAAAATGTCTAATATATTAATAAATAAAATATAACCAAAGTAGGACATGCAATTAGTGTAAAAATCAACATGTTTAGTATAAATATTGATTTTGTATCATTTTATTCCAATAAATGGAATCACAAGAGCACTTTGAGGTCTAAAAATTTGTAGAAAATGCACAGCGCAGTTAATTATCATTAGTCATATATATTAAATAAACTTCATCTACGTCTTCTACTATTAAGGCTAATTTCAACTCATCATTTAATTTAATTTCCTATTCACATAAATATTGCCGTACTACCTACAATATTCATCAAGGAAGCGCTAAGACAAAATCGTTGCATGCCACATCTTTGATTATATAGGATGAAGTTATGCTGATACACGAGGTATGTTCTAAGATTTTAGAGGTTACACCAAAAAACATCATGCGTAACTAACTACATGCTATCATTGATCAATTACACATCTTAGTTCAATTAATATTATTCCTTCACACACCGGTACTACTTTCCATGTAGGTATGTATAATGTCGAATATCTTAATAGCGCTTCAATAGTTGGATTGCCCAACCATGTCCTTCATTTGAAAATCGGAGCCCCCGCTAATGTTATTGAGAAATATTAAGCATGCATAAGTTTTATTCAATAGAAGGTAATTGGTCATAACCAAGTTGGAAAAACAAGTAGACAAGTCATAATTTGAAAAGTTATGAAAGATAAAGTTTACCTATTCAAAATTTCATTGTCACCATATGACAACTTTATTCAATTTTCGAATAAAGCAATTTATTGTGATTGTAAGATTTACAATAACAAT